TGGAAGCTCAAAGCCACGAAATACAAAAGATTGCTCATGAGATCATTACAGAAGGTATGCCCCTCAATGAACAATTTCAAATTGCTGTAATTATTGACAAACTGCCCCCTGGTTGGAAAGATTTCAAAAATGTGCTTCGTCACAAAACAAAAGAATTTTCAATCGAGAGTCTGATAACTCGCCTCCGAATTGAAGAGGAGGCTCGGAAACAAGATCAGAAAGAAGAAGTCTTAGTTGTGTCTAACAACAAAAAGAAATTCGGTGCGGTTCTGAAGCCTACGGGCAAACCTTTAAAGAATCAGAACCGCAATGCTATGAACCGAACTAAGAATGGGAATCCCTCTAGGGCCCCATCGGCTCCATTTGCTAAGCAACAACCACCACCTCAAAGAAATGATGCTCCGGTTTTCACTTGCTATAATTGTGGGAAACCGGGCCATATGGCAAAGAAATGTAGGAGCAGGCCTAAACCTGCAGCTGGCTCAAATGCTCAGGTCAACCTGACTGATGAGCAACTCATTACCATGATCACTGAAATCAACATGGTTGGTGGAAGTGATGGTTGGTGGATAGACACTGGCGCCACTCGTCATGTCTGCTATGATCGTGCTATGTTCAAGACATACATGAATGCTGAAGATAAGAAAGTGTTGTTGGGAGATGCTCACACCACTAATGTTGCTGGAATTGGAGATGTTGAGCTGAAGTTCACTTCAGGAAAGACTTTGATCTTGAAGGACGTCATGCATGTTCCTGAAATTAGGAAGAATCTTGTTTCTGGTTTTCTTTTGAATAAGGCTGGGTTTAGTCAAACTTTAGGGGCAGATTTGTACACCATCACTAAGAATGGTATTTTTGTTGGAAAAGGGTACGCCACTGATGGCATGTTTAAGTTGAATGTTGATTTGAATAAAATTTCTCCTTCTGTTTACTCTGTGTGTGACTTCAATATTTGGCATGGTAGACTTTGTCACGTTAATAAACGAATCCTTTCTAATGCAAGCAACATAGGCCTAATCCCTAAACTAAATGTTAATGATTCCAATAAATGTGAATTTTGCAGTCAAGCTAAAATAACAAAAACTTCACATAAGTCAATTATAAAAGAATCTGACCCCCTAGATCTTATACACTCTGATATATGTGAATTAGATGGAAGTTTAACTAGAAATAATAAACGTTATTTTATCACTTTTATTGACGATTGCTCTGATTATACTTATGTATATCTAATGAAGAATAAAAGTGAAGCGCTTGACATGTTTAAGGTGTATGTAACTGAAATTGAGAATCAATTTAACAAGAAGATTAAGAGACTTCGCAGTGATAGGGGAACCGAATATGACTCCAGCTTGTTTAATGATTTTTATGCTGAACATGGTATTATACATGAAACGACTGCTCCATACTCTCCTGAAATGAATGGTAAAGCAGAAAGAAAGAATAGGACTCTTACTGAACTTGTAGTTGCAATCATGTTGAATACTGGTGCTGCACCTCACTGGTGGGGGGAAATTTTATTGACTGTTTGCTATGTCCTGAATAAAGTTCCAAAGTCAAAAAGTAAGATCTCACCCTATGAGATATTAAAGAAAAGACAACCAAATTTGTCTTATTTAAGAACTTGGGGTTGTTTGGCTTATGTCAGAATTCCGGATCCGAAACGAGTTAAACTCGCTAGTAGAGCCTATGAATGTGTTTTCATTGGGTATGCAGCAAATAGTAAGGCATACAGGTTTTATGACCTAACTGCCAGAGTAATTATAGAATCAAACGATGTTGAATTCTTTGAAGACAAATTTCCTTTCAAATCGAGAAATAGTGGGGGCACACAATTGAGTCACATTCTTGTGATAAAAGGCACTGAAAGCAGCGACAATGTAGAAACAGAGCTTCGAAGAAGTAAAAGAGCAAGAGTTGCTAAAGACTATGGGCCCGATTATGCGGCCTATAATGTAGAAGAAGATCCAATAAATCTTCAAGAAGCACTGTCATCTATGGATGCAGACTTATGGCAAGAAGCCATTAATGATGAGATAGATTCTCTAGAATCTAACAAGACCTGGCACTTAGTAAACTTACCTCCGGGTTGCAAACCAATTGGTTGTAAATGGGTTTTGAAAAAGAAACTAAAACCTGATGGAACGATTGAGAAATACAAGGCTCGCCTTGTAGCCAAGGGTTTTAGACAAAGAGAAAATATAGATTTCTTCGACACCTTTTCTCCGGTCACTAGAATTACATCCATTAGGGTACTCATTTCAATAGCAGCTATTTATAACTTAATAGTACACCAAATGGATGTTAAAACAGCTTTTTTAAACGGTGACTTAGAAGAAGAAATCTATATGGAACAGCCAGAAGGATTTGTAATCCAAGGACAAGAAAACAAGGTCTGTAAGTTAGATAAGTCTTTGTATGGACTAAAACAAGCCCCTAAACAATGGCATGAAAAGTTTGATAACCTAATGATAATTAATGGGTACAAAGTGAATGAAAGTGACAAGTGCGTCTATTACAAATCTGAGAATCGCATTTGTACTATCATATGTCTATATGTAGACGATCTACTTATATTTGGATCAAACATTCAGGCCATTAATGATATGAAATCATTGTTATGCAATAACTTTGATATGAAAGACCTCGGAGAAGCAAGCGTGATCCTGGGTATCAAGATCACGAGATCCGAACAAGGAATTTCTTTGGATCAATCTCACTATGTGGAGAAGATCTTAAAGAAATATAAATACTTTGATTGTAAACCTGCATGCACTCCGTATGATCCAAGTGTGAAACTATTTAAGAACACTGGAGAGAGTGTCAAACAAGCAGAATATGCGAGCATCATTGGCAGTCTTAGGTATGCCACTGATTGTACTAGACCCGACATTGCATATGTCGTAGGACTGTTGTGCAGATTTACAAGTAGGCCGAGTAATGAACATTGGCAAGCTATTGAGCGAGTAATGAGGTACCTTAAAAGGACTATGGACCTCGGCCTACACTATCAGAAATTTCCTGCTGTACTAGAAGGGTATAGTGATGCAGATTGGAACACCTTATCGGATGATTCCAAAGCTACTAGTGGTTATATATTTAGTATAGCCGGAGGAGCTGTATCTTGGAAATCAAAGAAACAGACCATTCTGGCACAGTCCACAATGGAGTCTGAGATGATAGCATTAGCTACAGCTAGTGAAGAAGCAAGTTGGTTAAGATGCTTGCTAGCTGAGATTCCTTTATGGGAAAAACCTATACCAGCTGTGTTGATCCACTGCGATAGTACCGCGGCTATTGCAAAAGTTGAGAACCGTTATTATAATGGTAAAAGACGTCAAATTAGAAGAAAACATAGCACTGTTAGAGACTGTATCTCTAAAGGAGCTGTGAGAGTGGATCATGTACGCACTGATGAGAACTTAGCAGATCCTTTGACGAAAGGATTAGCTAGAGAGAAAGTCCATAATACTTCCAAAAAGATGGGACTAATGCCTATAAAGTAATTTGTTACTCATGATGGTAACCCGACCTAAATGACTGGAGATCCCAAGACTTAGGTTCAATGGGTAATAACAAGTTATGAGTAATATGAAAATGATCATGCAAGTAAAGCATGAATCCTGAAGTAATGAGAGGATGAGATAATAGAAACTCTTAATGAGATCTATACTCTGTATGAGGGAGTACCTAGGCTACAGGAGTACTCTTGATAGATTCACCTATGTGACTGTGGAACTAGGCCGGTTCCTATGGAATTTCGAGGCAGAATTCCTAGAGCATTCACTAAACCGGGATACACGTGCAGGGCCACTAAAGCACGGGCTACAAGAATACACCTTACGGAAAGGTTGTGTGCGGGTCTGATGTCCGAGATAGAGTTCAAGACAATGGTGTCACTCTTGTTGAATCAGAATCCTACTCGCTACGCTAAGGTTCAAGTCGTAGATACCTTTGCTTATGCTCAACCTGAGAAACGTCTGACGTACTTCTAAAATCTCTTTTAAATTCAAGTGGGGGAATGTTGGAACTTTAATTAATTAATGGTGGAACTTTAATTAATTATAGTGGGAATTGGAAACATTTGTTGACAATTAATGAGCAATAAATGAACACAAGTGAGAACTAATATAGAAGTGAATTTGAAAAGATTCATTTTAGTCCCACATTGAAGGGAATGGAAATATTAGTAGTGTTTATATATTCCAACTTTGTCTATTGGGTTGGGCCCTAAAGGGCACCCAATTTTGTGAAAGGAGTGAGGACACACCCATGACCAACAAGACACACACGCGCGCGCGCCGCCGCCGCCGTCCGTCCGGCTCGGCTCGGTTCGGTCCGGTCTAGATGAATTATTTTTTGGACCCGAATTTATATAATTTAATTATCATTAATTAATTAATATAATTCGGTGGAAAATTAATTAATAATAAATATTAATTAATTAAGAAAATAATTGGTCAGTCAGTCCTCCACGAATTTCTCAGTCTCCCACCATTTTCTCCACTCCCCACGAATTTCTCAGTCTCCCACCATTTTCTCCACTCCCCACGAATTTCTCCCCACTCAGGTGCAGTTTGCTGCCTATAAATACAGGGTAGAAATTCAGAAGTGGGTACATCGGATTTCACAAATTCACACGAATTTTGATTTCCCTCTTCTCTTTCTCATTTCTCTTCATCTCAAAAACTCTCTTTTCTTGACTGGTTATTTTCACCAGATACTTAGACAAGTGTATTTCTAGAGCGATTCATCAGTGTGCAACTGATAATCGTAAGTTGTTTGAACGGGCTGTTTTATCCTGGAGGCGTCGTCGTAAATTCGACTGCTTTGCATAATTTGGCAGTACGGCGAAACGTCTTAAAGAAAGCGACCTAGTACGCGACTCGTCCCGATAATTTCCTTGTGCTAAACTTTAATTTTCAGATCCGAAAAACAACAATATTAACTATAGAAGACTTATTCAAATTGGCTTTCCTATATTTGTTAGGGCGCTAAAGATGGTGTTCAAGGAGGTTAATGACAAAGAAAATATATCTAGATATGTAGAAACAGAAAAGAATAGGTTGATTTCAAATCGAGATCTTGTGCGACTAAAACTTGAAGCAACGGATCATAAAACGGATATGGTCAGTGATGATGTTTTTTTGTGGCTAAAAGAAACAGACTTACTCTTACAAGAGGTGGAGAATCTCACTTTACAAGCAAGAAGACGACAATGGAAAGAATTTAGTAAATTGCTTGGAAAAATTACAACACTCAATAGGAAGTGCGAATTTGAGCCGTTTTCAATTCCAATTCCAAGTCTAGAGCACTTCTCTTCGGGGAAGATTGTTTGTTTTGAGTCTAGAGAAAAGACTTCGGATCAACTTTTAGTAGCACTGCAAGATGATAGTTGTTCTATCATTGGATTGTATGGTAGACAGGGATCCGGTAAAACGACATTGGCGAAAGCAATGGGTGAGAAAGTTAAGTTTTTAAAGATTTTTCATGAGGTTTTATTTGCCACTGTGTCCCAAAATCTAAATATAAGAACAATGCAAGAGGAAATTGCTGATTCGTTGAATATAAGCTTCGACAAAAACAGTGAAGCTGGAAGAACAAGAAGAATATTCTCCACAATAGAAAGTATGAATCGTCCAGTTCTAGTTATTTTTGATGATGTTCAAGTAAAATTTGATCCGGAGGATGTTGGTATTCCTTGTAACAGTAATCGATGCAAGATCCTTTTGACGGCACGTTGCCAGCAAGATTGTGATTTGATGTATTGTCAAAGGGATATTCAACTTGGTCCCTTATCTAAAGAGGAAGCTTGGACTTTGTTTGAAAAACATTCGAGGATTCATGACGAGGAGTGCTCCTCTTCATTTGACTTATTGAATGTGGCACGTGAAGTTGCTGTTGAATGTGAAGGTGTGCCTAAATTGATTAAAGATGTGGCATCTTCCTTAAGAAGTAAACCAATTGATGAATGGAAGGCATCGCTAGATAGTCTCAAACATTCAATGGCCAAATGGCAAATTTTTCTTAGTTTTAGAGGAACAGATACGCGTTACGGTTTTACAGGTTCTCTTTATCAAGCTTTACGTCAAGGTGGATTCAAGACGTTTATGGATGATGGAGGATTGCAAACTGGAGATCAAATTTCACCATCACTTTTAAATGCCATTGAAGCATCGAGGCTTTCGATTATTGTTTTATCTGAAAACTATGCAAATTCCACGTGGTGTCTTGATGAACTTGTCAAGATTCTTGAGTGTAAGAAACAATTGGTTTGGCCAATCTTTTACAAAGTGGAGCCATCTGACATAAGGCATATGAGAAAATGTTATGGAAAAGATATGGCTCAACATGAAAATATGTTTGGAATTAATTCCGAGAGAGTACAAAAATGGAAGTCAGCTTTAATTGAAGTGTGTAATTTGTCGGGAAAAGCTTATACAACCGGGTATGAATATGAATTTATTCAAAAGATCGTAGAAGATGCCAATCACTTTAGAAGTCGTTTGCAAATACGAACCATATAGATATGTTCCAATCATGTTAAAATCCATTTTGAATGGAAATGCTTTCTTATATTAAAAAAGATGTAGAAATATAATAGTAGTTGAACAAAATTCTGATGTAAGAATGTTTTTTAAGCCATCGAGCTTGTTTCAGACGTAAAAATAGAATTTTAATATCTTTTGAAATTTTTTATTTTGGATTAAAAATTTATTAAGGTTTCTTTGCTTCTTTATTTAATCACTTTTGGCGTGAGTTAAAGATCATCTTTTGATATAATAAAATTCAGAGTTTTCTTTATCTGGTGGATTCCAGAGTTTATCTGACAAATTTTACGCTTGCAATCCTATGTTCTCATTCTAGGTTTAGCGCTTGTTGATTTCTAGTGTTTCCGAATGCTTCAAGTGGCATTAGAGTAGGTTATCTCTTGCTTCTTTTCGTAACTTGATCAATTATGGGAGATCAACCACTGAACATATGCATAACTTAGCAAATCGGATGAACAACACCAACAACAACAACGTGAATCAGCGAAAAGACAAAGGAGGAGAACAAGTTAGGGTTCCGCTGGGTGGAAACAATCATCATGTTGTTATTGCTGCAAATTCGAGTTCTGAAGAAGAAGAAGAACCCTACAAGGAAAAGGTATTTGATCATGGGAATTGACATAACCATGATTATTGAGTGAAGGATGATATTCTATTATTCTATGGAACGATGGGAATGGAGGAGTTTCTGGATTGACATATCGATGTCGATAGGTTCTTCAATGTTATGGGAGTCCCTGAGAACAAGCATGTTATGATGGCGGTGATTAGACTGAAAAGTAATAATATTGTCTGGTGGGATAAACTTATTGTTCAGAGGCAGAGGAAAAGGAAGGGGCCTGACAAAACTTGGCGAAGAATAAAATAATTGATGATGGAGCGGTTTTTACTGGAGGATTATGAACAAATTCTTCATATGATGTATATTGAGTATGTTCAGGGTAAGAGAAATGAGACTGAATGCACAACGAATTTTCTATGTTTTTTATTGTAGTTAATTGGGAGAATCATACAGCCAGAAAGTGACTCAAAATATCAGTGGTCTAAAGGGATCATTTCACAAAAATAGGAGTTTACAGATTGTATGAAGGCGGGATTAACTTTAAATTAGTAGGCGATATTAATGGAAAAAAGTGGGCGACATTAATGGAAAAGATTGTTTGAAGTGGGAACTAATAGAGAAATCCCCTAAAAATTTCTCATCTTTTAGGTATTTACCTCAGAATAACTTTGAATCATTGGGAAACAAGGAAAAGAGTGTAATGTAACACCCTATTTCTCCAACTTGACATTTAATAAAATAATTCAATATATCAAAATATGTTTTACCATAGCATAAAAGAACCACAATTAACACTTTCAGAAATTAGCAACAGAAAATTAAAAGTTTAACATATGAGTCTTAACAACAATGAATCAGAAAGTGGTTCAACAATCCCCAAAAGAAATAAGACATGTAACAAAAGAAACATGGAACATCTCGTTCTCCAATGTTACATATCAGAGCAACGCCACTAAGACCCGAACGATAAATAACTAAAGAGGCAAAATGTCATCCTCTTGCATCAAACATCTACTCTTGTACATGATTGTCTGTGTGAGTGAAAACTTTTGTTAGATGTATTTTGTATGATGTCAAAACTAGGATACTTTAGTGTTTATGTACATTGGATGGTATCCTATAAGCCTAGTTGTGTATTTTTAGCATTAGGAAGCTTAATAACATGTTGGAAAAGGTTTAGAAAAGGTTCATGCATCAAAGAAAAGGTTTCAAAAAAGGTTCATGCATCAAAGAAAATGTTTCATGCATCAAAAACTAATTTTCATATAAAAAATAGCTATGTGTCAACACATATGCTCTATAGGTCGACACATAGAAAGAAATTTTCTCTACAGGTCGACATATTCGTTTTTCAGGTCGGCTCATGTAATGCAGTTTTAAAGCTTATAAGCTTTGTTTGATGTAATGCCTCTACAGGTCGATGCGTACATTAAAAATCTTGAAAATTTACATTGTTTTCTATTCCTTTTGTATTCCTTTTGATTCATACTTGCTCACATATATATATACCTGTTACATGTATAATTTATTTTCAATGATTTTGTGAAAATCATAAACGAAACCTGAAACATACAAAAAGTCTTCTTCAACTTCAACATTGATATTATGCATACACACAAACAAAGTACACATAATCATTCATTGCTTGGGTGCCACCTAGAATCAAGTTGATAACCTCCATTTTAAGTTGTTGAATTGTAAATTGGGTTAATATCTTTGGGGGGTTTCAAATAAGAAAACTAAGGTGGAGTTTTCCTAAGATCAATTGGAGATTTTAAGGTTTTGGACAAGATTGTGCATATTTGGGTTTGATCAAGTGAAGGATTTGAAGAACAAAAGGTTCTTACAAAGAAGTAGCGTGAGAGGATCAATCAAATTGGTAAATCTTGGGTTACAACAATTTTCAATTTAGATTCGATCAAGTGAAGGCTTTGAAGAACGGGGGTTCTTGCAAAGGAGTAGCGTGAGATGGCGAATCAAATTGGTATTATTAGGTGACATGATCAAGCTTAGATCAAGGGAAGAGAAAGTGTTATGATCAACATCAAACATAGGATTTGTATGGTTGCATTGCTACATTTCTCTTGTAAACTACATTTACAAAGTAAGGTTTATTTCACTATCTTAATTTGAGTTCGAATTGAGGCAGGCATACCTATATCGAGGCCGATTGAGAAATTTCCTAAACAAATTCTTGTGTACTCTCTCTCTCTCTCTCTCTCTCTCTCTCTCTCTCTCTCTCTCTCTCTCTCTCTCTCTCTCTCTCTCTCTCTCTCTCTCTCTCACTCTCTCACTCTCACATACACACACACATACACTTTTACATTTCATTTGCAAATTGTTGAGTTCATCAATTGTGCGATCAATACGTTTGGTTAATTCTTTTGAAAAACGTTTTGTTGAGTTGATCACAATTCTTTAGATTGTGGTTGGATTTTATGATCAACAAAACTATATAAATTTCTAAACAAAATCGATTGCACATAAGTTATTCGATAATTTGTCTCAATAGTATTTGTGGATGTATGGGACGCCATGATCAATGGTCCTAATCAAATTACAGCGACCAATTCTGAAGGTGTTGTCGTACCAAAATCGGAAGCACAATGGAATGATAATCATAGGATATTATGGTTACATGATTGGAAGGCACAAAATATTCTCATATCCGCACTTGGTGTTGATGAATGTTATTGTGTCTCTCATTGCGAAGCCTCCAAAGCTATGTGGGATGCATTATAATTTTCCCGCGAGGGAACTAATGAGGTCAAACAAGCTAGGGTCAATATGTTAAATCAAGAATTTGAACTATTTCGCATCAAGTATGGTGAAACCATTGCCGACATGCAAAAGAGGTTCATACATCTAATAAATCGTTTGAAGGCTCTAGGTAACCCTATCTCCAATGATATTGCTACTAATAAAGTTTTGAGGTGTCTTAATAGGGAATGGAAACCCAAGGTCACCGTGATCGAAGAAGCGAATGATCTTAACACACTTGATCTCACAACTTTATTTGGCATGCTTGAAGAACATGAGTAAGAACTCACTTCCTTGGAAAAACATGAGAAAAGGCATGAGAAGAAGATGAATAAGGAGGAAGAAAATAAGTATATTTCTCTAAAGGCTTCAAGTTCAAAGTCCTCAACCAATGATCAAAATGATTGTGAAGCAAGTGATAATGAGAATTCGGATGATGAAGATATGGGAATTTTTGTGAAAAGGTTCCATAGATACATCAAAAGAAATGGTGTAAAGTTCTCTGACAAAAACCTCATCAATTTTAGAAGACAATCTAACTCATCAAAGGAATATGATAACAAGAAAGGAAGATCAAGTCGTTCATGTCACAATTGTAGCAAAATTGGTCATTATAAGCCAGAGTGTTCTTTGATTGAGAAAGACAGGGAGAAAGGTCATCACAGAAAATCTAGCAAGTCTAAAAGAGCTTATGTTGCTTGGGAAAGTGACAGTGATTCCTCAAGTGATGAAGGCTCAAGTGATAATGAAGAATCAACAAATGTTTGTCTCTTGGCTTATTATCGTGAAAAGAAGAAAAAGAATATAAGTTAATCTAAATATAAACATGTTGATAAGTTGTCTTATTCCGAGTTACAAAAAGTTTTTGAAAATCTACATAGAGAAGGCATACGCTTTTTAAAAGTTAGCTTCAAACAAAAGAATTTTTACGCATTTAGAAGCTAAAGTTTTGGAAACTGAAAAGAATATGGAAGCTCTTAAGAAATTTATGGTAGATATTCAAAAAGTTAAAGATGAGGATGAAGAACCTTCATGGTTCGGTTGTGGAACTTATCACATTTGGAAAAGAGAGGAAAATACTCTTAAAGCTAAATTTAATAAGGCATTACAACCAAAGGTCAATTTTTCTATTGATACTGCCAAATATAAGATGTCTTCTCATAATCCTTATAGAAGGTATAGCTCTGTTGAAAAGTATCAAAATAGTAAAGGTCGCTCTTCTCACAATTTAGCTTGTCACTTTTGTTGCAAAAAGGGCCATACCATTGCAAAATGCAAGTTTAGGAGATTTCTTGTACCTAAAGGTGTTTTTCAATGGTTTCCTAAATGAAACCGAGATTTTACTCACCCTTAAGGATCCAATGAAGATCGGGTACCTAGCATCTCTAATTGATTTTGTAGGATAAATGTCTTGGCTCTATGAAGAGAGTATGGGATCTCGTTTGTGGATACTCAAGACATATAATGGGTGACATCTCCGTATTTCATTGAATTTGTGGCAAGGAAGAAGGGTTGTGTTTCCAAATAAGTTAACAACATGTGTTCATTCATTGGTAAAAGTGTGTAGATTACTTGTAATGCTTCTATCTGAGAAATGTTGAAAAGGTATTTCATTTCATGATGTCGACATATCTTCAAAAGACATACTCAATAA